CGCCTATTTGGCACAGTAAAACAAATGCCTGTTTCTCTAGCTTTGGAACAAATAAACAGAAGCGCCCACCTGTGTGTTTAAGACTCTTATTTTGCAGGCCAACCTGTTTTCATAGAGAAATACTTAAGTACTGTGAAGAGGTGGGGAGTTGGCTTCTGTTCCTGCACCAGGCACCCTTCTGGGCCCCAGATGACACACAGTATGAGCTAGGCCATCTCTGCCCTTGGGGAGCTGAGGTCCTCGCAGGGAGAGGGACTATGAAAACAGGTACGTGAGGAGGATTTGAGGAACAAGGAGGTGTGATGATTAGCAAAGAACCTAAGAGAGCACCAGTTTCTAATTTCCAGTTTCAAAAACAATGTGTGGTTCGATTCTTGGGCCTGGTGGCTTAGAAAATGTGCTGGGTGCTTACGCATGCATGCTCAAAATTCCACGAGGAGAGTGGAGGAGAAGGGATTGCGGTGTGACCGTCTCCCGTGGGTGATTTCTCACCTTCCCTCTCTGGAGCCCTATAGCAAACGCTAGAACAAGCAGACAAACCTTCTGGGCGCTGTGTGAAGAGCTGGAGAAGGGGCATGAACTCCGCTAGTGCCTGTGGAGATGGAGGGGAATGGGCAGGTGGGATGGAAGGAACATGGCCGGACTGGGAGAGCGAGGGGTGGTGGGCGACTCCCAGACTGCATGACTGGGGCATGTTCTCAGCTGAGATGGTCAGGAATGGAGCAGGAGAAGCACTTGGGGCAGGAGAGAGCCAAGGACCCAGGCTGGGACATGGAGCATTCGAGATGCCTGTAAAACTCCAAGGAAGAGGAAGGTCCAGAAAAGGATGGGGCTGAGTTAGACCGTGGGAGTCCTTGGCACGTGGGTGGGATCTGAAGCCCTGGGAATGGATGCGATCTCGCGGGGGCGAGGACAGCTCAGGCCGGCCCTCGCTCTGAGATTTGCAGGCCTTTATAGGATCTGGTAGGGGTGGAACTGACAGCGGACTGAGGCTACAGCAGCTCATTTGGAAGACAAGGTATGTACGTTTCCTCGTCACAGACCACATGGCCTGGCCAGCGACTCTCAGCCGCAACCTCCAGAGGGCTCCAGAAAAGCTTTCCCTGGTAGTGGGCAGCGAACCCTCGGCCTCCTGCCTGGTAGAACAGAGGGAGAGCTTCCTCGCCTGTAACTGCCCTGGGCTGACCCCCAGGGCAAGAGGAGCGTGCGACATAGCCCCCGGTTTGGGTTTCTCGGGCAGAGTTTGGAGTTCCTCAGGGACAAACGTGAGTCTCGGAGATGAACTTCCCATCCTGGCTCCGACCTGGTCTCCAGTAAGTGGGGGCGATCTCGCTTAGTCAGCGGCAGATCTGCCTGTGACATTCACTCGCAGGGAGTTCAAGTGCTGGGCCGTCGTGTGCTTTCCCTCGCATTTGAAACTAAATGAGACAGTGAGATTTCAAAAGGAAAGTAGCTGAGGGCTAGCAGGTGGCCGGTGCTTAAGGCGCTGGATCTCACATGGCCAACTTGGCAGGTTCAAGGCCTGGATATGGTAGCTTGAGAAATATGCCAGGCGTGTGTGTGTACCCAGAATCTTTAGAGGAGAGTAGAGAAGAGAGTGCAACTTGGCCACCCCCGGGGGTGATTTCTCACTTCTTCTTTCTCTCTGGCAAGTGCACACACCCCATGGCAAAAAAAAAAAAAAAAAAAAATTAGCCGAGAAGAGGGACAAACTTGCAAGCTCAGCCTTTGATAAAGGAGCAGAGAGGACTCTCCCTCCATGTCGCACAGCGTAACACGCGTGCATCTGATAGACAGGAAATGCCAGGCGGGATGGAGACTTGCCACGTTCCAGAAGATTAGAAACAGAATAGCTGCCCAGCTTTCCATAAACTCGGTTACTGAAGTCCTAGTTATGTGCATTGTCTGAAAACGGTCGGATAGCTCTTCCTCTCTAGATCAGGCTGGTGTGGTTAAGGTTGGTAACAGGAGTTCTGAAATTAAAGCTGGTCCTGGTCTTCGCAGGGTAATAGTAACGAGAAATGTGCGGTTTCCTTTGATGCAAACCAGGTACTGTGAGTTAACTTGCTCTTTTACCAGTCGCTGAAGACTGGAAACAGAGTGTTGCTTAAATGATGAAAACATAAAAATGCCCGAACACCTACAAGGAATTGGCCGTTTTTCACTTTCCTTTTCTTTCTCAAAATAGTTTTCAGTTCTGCTTTTGCAGTTTCAGTTCACGTTATAGAAGTTGAAATTTTGAGAATGGTGAGGGCTTCCTTTCTGATGCATCAGGATGTTTTTTCCATAGCTGTGTGGGACTGTGTATTTATGAGTGACATTTTGTTATCAGGAGCCACTTTGCGGCCACCACTGAGGTTTTCTCTTTATGTTGGAAACTGTAGATGGGACAGTGAGATTTAATAAGAACAGAAGATGTGAAGAGGGATGGACTGGCCAGCCCAGCCTTCAAAAAAGGAATCTGGAATCTTAGGAACCCCACTTCTTCCTGGTATTTCACACCCATGCACTACTTTGGCTCGAATTTCAAACCTGATTTGGTCTCTGTGCCCCGCTTTCCAGTCTAACATGGCAGCTCCACATTCAGGGAGTCCAGCCTTTACGCCCTCCCGGCCTGGCCTGGGCACTTGTCCAGCTGCCTTTACACTTCCTGATGACGTGAGGCCATCTAGACTAGAAGTTAGTCTTGTAGTAGCCAGGCATCTGTGTTTTTAAGCTCTTTATCTTTTTCTTTTGTTTTGTTTTCTCTTTTTTTAAAGGTTTTTGCCATAGGGCGTGTGTGCTCATTGGAGAGAGACAGTGAGAGCGAAGTGAGAAATCCCAGAAGGTAGGGGTGGGTGTGTGCGCGTGTGTGTGCGCGTGTGTGTGTGTGTGTGTGTGTGTGTCCATGTCGCAATCCCTTCTCCTCCATTCTCTTCTCAGGATTTTGAATTTGGGGCACACTGGCACATGCCCTCGGCATGATTCTCAAGCCACCGGGTCCAAGGCTCAAATGGCAATCGGCCAAGTAGGAGTCCAGAGCCTTAACCACCACACTTACCCACCACACCACCTGCTGGCGCCAGCCCTTTATCTTTAATTACCAAGTGAAGGCTTTCCAACACCCAGGCCTGGCCTTATACAATGATCTGTACAAGAGAACAGCTGCTCCTGGGCCCTGTGGAGTGGACGCCCTGAGATCTGCGAGTCGGTGGTCCTAGGAGGCAGAGGAGAAAGCAAATGTAGGGAATAGTTTTTACACAGAGCGGCAGGGACTGTGGTAGACAAAGGCTGAGCGGCTTGGAGAATACGTGTTCACTGAGTGTTTTCACAGGCTGGCTCTAAGCTAGGAGCATTCCATATAGAGTCTCATGCGTACTTAATACATCCAGTGTTACTATGTGCATCTTAACCATCTGTCAAATAAGAGGTTAGGATTAATTCCAGAAGTAAGCAGTAACCATCAGCTTTTTCAAAGTATGTTTTTCTTGTAGCACATTTTATTCTTTCATTAAGTGTGGTTATTTTTTCCAAATATAGAAAAATTTAAAAAAAGAAAACCAGGAGCCACTCATCAAAAATTGCAAATGACAATGAACTTTCCAAAGAGTATTTCTGACACTCAACTTCTGAAAGTTCAAATTCAAGGTGGTTAAATGGATTTCTTTATATTTCTTCTGGTTGCTATGGCCCATAGGACAGGTGTTAAGTTGATTATATATAAATATAAAATAGAATTTATATAACATATATAAATAAAAATATAAATATATATATTTAAGCGATTATTTGCTATAAGGTGCATGCGCTTGCCAGACAAACAGAGAGAGAGACACAGAGTGAGAAATCACATCCCAAGGGGGATGGCCACACCGCATTCCATAATCCCTTCTTCTCCACTCTCCTCTTGGGATCTTGGACACACACTCATTCATGCCCGGTGTGAGTTTCAAGCCACCGGGTCCAGAACTCAAACCACGGTCGGCTACGTGGAAGTCCAGCAACATAATCATAACACCATCTGCTGATCCCAAGTTTATTTTATATTTTTAATGTGTTTTGTTTTTTGTAAAGTTAGACTCTGGGGGGAAAAAAAAAGAAAAACGTCTCCACCTTCTGAGACGTAACAGTTTCTGTAATCACAAAATTTATTTTTTAAAAAGTCACCACCTTTCTTCTAAAGAAAGAATTGACTACATCGCAGGAGGTATAAAATATTTGACTTGCCAAAGACATTAAAGGCTATAGATGTCTACCCATTAGTTCCACAAATGAGAACGTAATGCCTAGAATGTAGAAAATAAGATTAAAAACTCTCCTGAAGAGACTAATGTCAATAGATGGGAGCCAAACCACGAATAGTAGGAAAGTGAGGGGGAAAATACTCCCTGATATCTGGTGGGTGTTTTATTTTTTAAAGAATTATTTGATTTGGGCCAGCAGTAGCATGGTAGTTAAGGCGCTGGACTCTTCCACCTGGCCAACTGCAGTTTGGACCTGGTGGCTTATTTTCTCACTCCCTCTCCTCCCGTTTGTCTCTCTCTTTCTCTCTGGTCAAATTAAAATAAATGAATGAATAAATAAAATTAAGTAGATATTTTAAAAATAATTATTTAATTGTATTTATTATTATTTTAATTCACCAGAGAGAGGGAGAAAGAGAAAATGAGAAAGCAAGCTGCCCGGTTTGGGACTCACACCACAGTCGACCATGTGAGAGTCCAGCACCTTAACCATCCTGCCACCTGCTGGCTCTCCTTTGTTTAAGACAAGAGTCTTGCTGAGTCATGTTTCTCCTGCCTCAGTGTCCTAAGTAGCTGTGACCCTAGAGGGCACCCCATGCCCGGCTCTTTCAGACTGGGTCTCTCCGTGCCACCCAGGCCAGCCTCAGGCGCCCCTCGGCACTTAGGGGTGCATGCTGCTGCACCCAGTTTTACCATCTCACTTTGCAGTTGCCGGTCTTGCCGATATTTACTCATCGTTTCTTCTCCCTGCCCCTGCTCCTTTGTTCTTTTTTCCAGTGGCCACAGATGTGTTTAATTCCAAAAACCTGGCCGTCCAGGCTCAGAAGAAGATCTTGGGGAAGATGGTGTCCAAGTCCATCGCCACCACCCTCATCGACGACACCAGCAGCGAGGTGCTCGACGAGCTCTACAGAGTGACCAGGGAGTACACCCAGAACAAGAAGGAGGCGGAGAAGGTCATCAAGAACCTCATCAAGACGGTCATCAAGCTGGCCGTCCTCTACAGGAACAACCAGTTCAACCAGGACGAGCTCGCGCTCATGGAGAAGTTTAAGAAGAAGGTCCACCAGCTCGCCATGACCGTGGTCAGCTTCCACCAGGTGGACTACACCTTCGACCGCCACGTGCTCTCCCGGCTGCTGAACGAGTGCCGCGAGCTGCTGCACCAGATCATCCAGCGGCACCTCACCGCCAAGTCGCACGGACGGGTCAATAACGTCTTCGACCACTTTTCAGATTGTGATTTTTTGGCTGCCTTGTATAATCCCTTTGGAAATTTTAAGCCTCACTTACAAAAACTCTGCGATGGAATCAACAAAATGTTGGATGAGGAGAACATTTGAGCGTGTGAATTACGACGGCGACCTTCAGGATCTGGCCAGAGAGAAGAGCACCGCTGGTGCATGAAGGAAAGAAGAATTTCTGTAAGGGTTACACATAGTTCGGGAACACTGTGCCCAGTTCACTTGTCAGATGTTAACGATAGTGCTTTTGTGATGTTTTATTTGCGGAAAAGCGTATTGCCCCAAATCCTGGTCCAAAGCTTCCTCGCGGGCAGCGGATATGGGTGTGCAGACACGGACTCCGTGGAGAGAGACGGTCTGCCCCTCGCCTGAGCCTCCTTGGACAGGCAGCTGTGTGGTGGCACGTCGGCTATGTCGCACACATACAAAGCTGTGTGTTGTAATGCCTTTTATTCCTTATTGTGTATATGTATCTTGTTTTAAAAGCCAGAATGTTCTGTTGTTGTTGTTGCTCCTTGTGAAACAATTGCATTTTCAAGTTCGCCCTTCTTTTGTTAAAGAGTGTGTCGTTGCCATTCTAGAATTACATCTGAGGCAGTCGGCTTAGCCCTCAGAAAGTAGAAAATGGTGCCCCTGAAATCAACACTGGTGAAAGGAACTGTGTCAGACACGAATGAGGTCCAATATAAGAAGATGCTTCTGGAATCAAGGCCTGCTTTGTAGTCCCCACAGTGACACTCAGCATTCCCCAAAATATCATGGCCTTTCGTGGAGTGGCCATCCCCCCCAGGGTGGTTTCTCACTTTCCCTCTCACTGTCTCTGCCTCTCTCTCTCTCTTGCTTAAGGCTTAACTTTCATATTATCTTGGAAATGTGCAGGTGAAATCTCCATTTTAAATAGCCATTGCACATGTAAAAGACAGGAAAATCTAAATTGGGCTAGCGTTGGGACAATAAAAAGCAAATGGCATTAATCAAGAAAGATAAACCAATCTTTAATTTTTTAGAGATTTTTGCTATAGGGTACGTACACTCGCCAGAAAGAAAAAGACAGAGAGACAGAAAGCGAGAAATCACCCCCCAGGGGGGATGGCCATGCCACAATCCCTTCTCCTCCATTCTCCTCTTGGGATTTTGGGCATGCATGCATATGCGCCTGGCATGAGTTTAAGCCACCGGGTCCAGGACTTGAACCAAGGTCGACTACATGGGAGTCCAGCGACATAGCCATTACGCCAACTACTGGTCCCAACCAATCTTTATTTTAGAGATGAGTGCATCAGTATAACTTAGGGGTATGAGAGGAAAAGATACTGCTAAAGAACATGACACTAGGGACAGCAGGTGGCATAGCAGTTATATCTCTGGACTCCCGCATGGCTCATCGTGCTTCAGGTCTCAGACCTGATAGCTTGAAACTCATGTAGGATGCGTGTGTGTGCGTGCCCGAGATCCTGGGAGGAGAATGGAGAAGCAGGAATTATGGCGTGGCCATCCCCCTCCCCCCCACCCCAGGTGGTTCCTCACTTTCCCTCTCACTGTCTCTGCCTCTCTCTCTAGCTAGTGCTCACACCCTAAGGCAAAAACCTCCACCTCCCCCAAAAAAAAAAAAAAAAAAAAAAAAGAGAATAGAACCTTGAAAATGAATGCTTTTCTGTGATTAAGAGGGTTTGAGAAATAAAAAAAATGTTACTTTTTCATTTAATTGATGTTTTTGTTCACTTCGTTGTTTGCTATGTTGATGAGAAAACCAAAGAATATTCATACTGCAGGCAGTCTGTGTTGTCCCCACGTAAGCTTTAGTGTGTGACTGCTCAAGGAGGTGCGTGTTTATTGTGGAAGAAGAAAGGAACCCTGACGGCTGTCCCCAACGGAGCAGGCCCAGCCACCGCTGGCTTGCGAGCGTGAGTTCGGGTGTCTTACCTTCCCTGTGCCTGTGTCCCCGAACACTGGGTAAGTAACCGTTCACCAGAAGAGGCCCCCTGGGGCAGATCGCAGTAAGAGAGATGTGCATGAACCCGTTCCGGCCCAGCGGAGGCCGTCTGTTTCTCTGGGACCCTCGTTTGCTGGACAGAGATGCAGCAAGTCAGTGTCGCCCTGGCGAATGCTGAACCCTGGCAGTAGGGTTCCAACCGCAGGCACCCTTCCTCCTTCCTGAGTCAGCCGGTGGTCGCTGTGTGTCACCGCGGTAGCAGACCGCCTGCAGAAGTGACCCCTCGAGTTTCATGACCCGCTAAGTGGCTTCTCCATGGACTTCTGCAGCCTTGGACCCGTTCCGGGCTCCTCACATGGGGAAGCCAAGAGCGGGCTCGGGCGGGAGCCACTGCCTGACACCCGCCTCTCCTCTGTGGGGTCTCAGCAGCAGAGGGTGGACGGTGGAGCGCCCGGGTGGGGCGGGTGCTTTCTGCTCACCTGCAGCTCTGGACGGGACAGAGAAGTTTAGGCCTCCTGGGTCTTGCAGTGGCGCCTGCGGGTGGCGTTCAAGTGTCCGCTGTGCAGTGAGGAGGGAAGCAGCCCCTCGTCTCAACGCAGCAAAGGCCCTAGCCTTTCTGCAGGGCCCTGTCTTCACCAGTGCCTGGAAGACGCTCCTTAGGTGGGCCAGCTACCCTGGCAGGGTTAGCGCCTTTATCTGAGGTAGTAGGACTCCCCTTGTGCCTGGATTTCATGTGAGGGAAGGGACGGGGTGGGGAGCTGGGGAGAATGGGAATGCTAGGGCGGATAACTCCAGGCCACGTTAGTGGTGATGTCGTGGTCTAAGGAACCTTTGGGGAAAAGATAGTATCTGACCCAGCTGGCGGCGAATAGTATGCGACTCTGGCCAGGAGTACCACAGTACCCAAGGGAGACCCAGCTTCCGTCCTAGGCCCACCCTAAACAAGCCAGGTGTGGTGGCCGTGCTGTGGTCCTGGCTAAGCTACAGGCCGGAGCAGCAGGAGGGCAACGTGGGCAAGACCCTGTCAGAAGTACTGCCTTGGCCTGGCTGTGGCAGTGCAGGCAGTGGGATGCTGCTGCGTGGCCCTGGGGCCACGTGGGAGGCGAGTCTGGATGTTGGGTCAACTGGACACACCAGGCAGGCCCATCCTTACCGTGATCCTGCCAGCTGGGAGGCCCAGGGAGGAGCACAGCACGGCAAGACCCTGCCAAGGGCGCTGCTTTCTCATGAAAGAAAACTAAAAATAGAAAGAAATTTGCCTCTCTTGGGACCGGCAGATGGCGTAATGGTTACGTCACTGGATTTCGTGTTGTCAACTGTGGTTTCAGTCCCAGACTCTGTGATGTAAAACTCAAGCTAGGCGTGTGTGCGTGTGTGCTCAAAATCCTGAGAGGAGAATGGAGGAGAAGGGATTGTACCATGGCCATCCTCCCCTGGGAGGTGATTTCTCACTTTCTGTCTCTCTGTCTCTGTCACTCCAGTGCGCAGCCTATACCAAAAATCCCCCAAAAAAAAAAAAAAAAAAAAGAAGGGACCAGCAAGTGGCATGGTTAAGGCTCTGGACACTCCCACATGGCCAACCACGGTTCCAGTCCTGGACCTGGGACCTGGTAGCTTGCTTTCTCTCTTTCCTTCTCTCTCTTTCTCTCTCTCTCTCTCTCTCTCTGTGTGTGTGTGTGTGTGTGTGTGTCTGTCTGTCTGTCTGTCTGTGTCTCTTTCTGGTCAAATTAAAATAAATGAATGAATAAATAAAATTAAATATTTTTTTAAAATTTAAAAATACACTTCTCTATCTCATCTCTATTTGTTCCTTTCTCACTAAAAAAAGGGAAAAGGGGCAGTACCTCTACATTTTGAAGACGAATTGTGCCGTCAGTGACTACTGATTTGGGTTGATGGCCGCTCTGCAGGGATTACGAGTGAAGGTGAGTGGGTGGCAGGGTCCTGTCGCCGGCAGCTAACGCGCGGTGTTACTGTGGGCCAGGCACAGGAGTTCCTGACCCCTCACCACAGCCCGAACCACTTTACAGATGAGGAAACCAAGGCAAGAAACGTTAAGGAGTTCATTTGAGGTCACAGTTATTGTCACAGCCAGAATTATTGACAAAACATTTACCTCAAGAGAAGTTCGACTAACGCCAATTCTAGAAACATCATTGGCTCGGAGAAAAGTGGGCAGTCTGGTTCCGAAACGGTTTTCCACATAGTGACATTTTAGGCAGTATTTAAACCACTGTGGGTCTGACCTGTCCTCTGAAGATCTCAGTAAGCTTTCATTCAAGAACATTTCTCAAAGCTTCTGATTTGGGGGCATCTTTTGGCTCAGATTTCTGCCTCTCATGGAACTTCAAGGTGCCCACAATTAAGGGCAACCTCGAACGAGGACGTGTGGGGTAGACAATGCCTCCCTGCTGGGCACCCTTTCTGCAAGAGCTGGAGACACTTGGTCACACACCAACACAGAAGGGACAGTCACTGGGTTTCCCAGAGGAGGGATGGCATCAACTCGAAACTTCAACGTGATTTCGTTTACAGGCTGAGAAGTATTTGAGCAAGTAAGTTAAATAGCCTGGTGTTTTTTGATTATTGGACTTTTTCAAACAGCTCAAAATTAGTTTAAAAGAAAGCATGTGTTAAGAACTTTAATGAGGGAACCAGCAGTTAGCGTAATGGCTATGTCGCTGGACTCCCATGTAGTCGACCACGGTTCGCGTCCTGGACCCGGTGGCTTAAAACTCACGCCGGGTGCATGTGCGTGCATGCCCAAGATCCCGAGAGGAGAATGGAGGAGAAGGGATTGCGGTGTGACCATCCCCCCGGGGGGGTGACTTCTCGCTTTCTGTCTCTATGTCTCTCTCTGTCTGTCTGGCGAGCGCATGCGCCCTATAGCAAAAACCTCTCAAAAAAAAAAAAAAAAAAGAACTTTAATGATACTGAAATCTCGCTGCTTTCTCCTTATAGCATGCTTATAGTATCTAATTCACCTTTACCGGTCAAGTTCTTTTTTTCTTCACTGTCTAAATACACTTAAAAAAACCCACGAAGCTTAAACTTTTTGATGGATTTCCAACACATCCCTCACAGGCTTACGATACTTTTGGTGGTCTGTACTTATCATTTGTATTCTTACTGAGAATTTTAAAGAGTTTTATCTTTTGAGATACTTGATAAGAGTATGTGTTATAATTCAGTATACCAATACTAATAGATAATAAGTGAAAGACTAATGTATTTATCCATATGAGAAAATATTTGTAGATCAAAGTTAAATGCTACTCAATTCCTAAGAAGTTAGAATATTCTAGTGAACTTAATTAGCATGTTAATAGGAATTATAATACTTTTTAAAAATTGAACCAGGTTTTGTCTTTTCACACTTGTATTATTTAAATTAGCTGACTTAGGGGCCAGCAGGTGGCAGAGTGGTTAAGGTTGTTCCCCCCTGGCCAACAACCATGGTTCGAATTCCAGACCTAGCAGCTTAATCACACCAACTACGTGTGCGTGCGTGCCCAAGATCCCAAGAGGAGAATGGAAAAGGGATTATGTCATGGCTATCCCTTCTGGGGGGTGATTTCTCACTTTCTCTCTGTCTCTGTCCAGTGAACACACATGCCCTGGGACAAAAACCTAAATAAATAAATAAGCTGAACTTTTTTATTTTTGGAGAGGTTTTTGCTATCGGGCGTGTGCGCTTGCCAGAAAGATAGAGACAGAGAGACAGAAAGCGAGAAATCACCCCCAGGGGGGATGGCCACACAGCAGTCCCTTCTCCTCCATTCTCCTTTCGGGATCTTGGGCACTCATGCACAACACGCCCAGCATGAGTTTTAAGCCACCGGGTCTGGGACTCAAACCGCGGTTGACTACATGGGAGTCCAGCAACATAGCCATTACGCTAACTGCTGGTCCCCATAAGCTGAACTTTTAACCTAATATATTGCAGTCCTGAGCCTAAGGCTTCTATGTAATTTGTTAAACTCAGAAGTTTCTGAACTCAGTGGTGTACATGACAGTGTTACCTTCGCTCTAAAATAGTTTTCTGTGCTTTAAGAAAGGCTTGGAGAAAACCCTAGGGAAAACACTGAGGCACTAACCAGAAAAATGAGTTAACTTTCTTTCCAAAATGACCTAAGAAAAGTCCTTGTGTTTTATGATCACATACCGTCATCATCACAG